TCTATTTTTAGCAAAGCATTGGTCCCAGACAGACTGTGACTGATTTGCCTGAAGTCACCCAGCAAATAAGTACATTGCAAAGTTAGGCCACACTCTAAGCTGGGACTGTGCCTTCTGGTTTGAGGCTTTTCCCATTCTCTTAACTGGGTGAGGATGGCCTGGCCCTATGGGAGTGGGTCCTGGGCTGCTTGGCTGCAGAGCCCCTAGTGTGTGTCCTATAAATAAACCCATTGTGTCTGAGCCCCTGTGCCCTCCCCCACCCCCAGCAGCTGCTATTTTTGTTGTTGGTTGTGCCTTAGACAGGGAAGAGGAGGCCTGGAGGGAACAGAGTTGAGAAATGTTGAAATCTGGAAGCTCTTGGGCTGATAACGTGACTGCCCATCCTCCTGTTGCACCTGGTAGGGCAGGGCCCAGTTCTGCTGCAGTTTGTTCAGAAGCCCCCTGCCCATGGTGCTCACATTCTGGCCATATCTGTGAAGAGGCTGTCAAAGGAGACACTGGCTCCTTCTGCAAGGACAGATGCCTCAGGATAACTGTTTGTCTTGGATACCATATGTCAGGAGGAAGGAAGGAAATTCTTGTGTACCCCCTTTCCCTATGTGAGGAAAACAGTTGGAATTCCGAAAGATGCTTTGCCCCAGGGATTAAGCAATGGCTGTCAGGCCAGGAGTGCGCTGGAAGCCAGGCCTCGGTTCTTACATCACTGCCCTTGGCACACTGCAGCCCAGAGCTGTCTTGGCTGGAAGGGTGTTCCTGTGGGCGAGAAGTTGCTGTTTATAAGTGAACTCTCCTGGGGTGTGACGGCTGGGACTGATGAAAGGGATTCCAGAAAACAGCTGGGAGTAGAGAGGAGGGGACCAGTTGATGTGGGTGACTCTGTTACTCAAGTGAGCTTCCCCATCCCTGCCTTTACAGCTGTCCTTTCCTCCTGCCAGGCCCCCTCGCTTCTCACCCTGGAGGATTCTGGAGGGGACAACTGGGGAGTGAGGGGCTCCTCAGACCAACAGGCGTTGGCTGAGGGCCAGGGCATTGGGGCTGGAGCCCAGGTCTGTTGCCATCTCTGTGGCCACTGCTCTCAGGCTGGACTGTGAGTTCGGGGAGAGCTTTGGCTGTGCCCTGGCTGGAGAAGGGTGGCAACTGCAGGCTCTGTCCTTTTTTAAAGGCTTAAATGACCAGATCTCTTCTGAGGATCTCGAAGCCTTTGTCCCTCTCTGGCTTTAAAGGGGGACATGGGGCTAGGGCTAAGGGTGTAGCTTAGTGGTGAATCCCCAGTACTCCAAAAAGGAAGCCAAGGAATGAACCGGGCCCTACAGGAGTGACTAAGCCAGAGATAGCAGACCCCCACATCCACTTGGCAACATCCCCAGAGACTCCTGAGCAGCAGTTTTCCTTTCCCTATCCCTACCTATCCCAAAATTGTCCCCCAGTCCTTCTATAAAGAGCAGCCAGAGAATACTCTGTTCCCTTTCCCCTTCCCCCTCTTCCTTCAGCACTGAAGCTACCTCCCTCTGAATCAGGCCTCTGTGTTGGGAGGGGCCTCCCACTGGCAGTTCTGTCTGAAAAGCTCCCAGTTCAAGTTAGAGTTCCCAACCCTTGAACTGCAGTAGGTGTTGGAGACCCAACATCCTAGATGCATTGTGGGACCCTGCAGAGAGACTCAGGCTTGGATTTTCCCAGACCCCAGGTGGGCTGAGCATAGAGCTGCCATTACTGAGTTGTGGATCCTGAGGTGGGAAGGAAGTTGTTTGTTCCTGGAGGACAGTGACATGGAAGCCACAGGAAAATTGATTTAGGCTGGCCGTTTCCCCCAAAATGTAGGCAAAAAAAAAAAGAAAAAACAGATTTCAAAGAGCCAAGTTCAAGGTTAGTCTGGTTTGGAGCTAGAGGTCATAGTATCTATGCATCCTGGCATTTCCAAGAAGATAAAGACACAAGAACTTTCTTTGAGAAATTTCCTTTCCTCTCTTTCTGTCTTTTTATCTCTCTTTCTTGAGGTCTGTAAGTTGCCATGGCTGGCTACAAAACTCACCATCCTCCGTCCGACCTTGGTCTCCCATTAAGCTGGAAGTATAGGTTTATGCCACTGGGCCCCACTTTTATTAGAAATCTGAAATTAAAAAAAAAAAATCTGAAATTCAGACTCTGAATCCCACTCATAGATTCACGCTCCTCCTGCCACCAAGTTCGTGGTCACACACTCCTGTAATCCCAGCATTTGGGAGGCTGAGGCAGGCAGCTCATTGCCAATTCAAGACCAGCCTGGCTACAAAGTGAGCCCAAGGCCAGCCTGAACTGCACAGTGAGACCCTGTCTCAAAAAGACAAAAATAAAGAAATTTGAGTCTCTTGTGGTGACTCCTCACAGATCTAGGCTACAGCTCCTGTCCTCTACTTGTGGCAGCTTGGCAGACGTGGACAAGGCCCTCGTCCTGAGTTGGCAGAGTGTGGCGCGCAGGCAGAAAGGGTTCTCCCTCAGGAGGCTGAGTCATAGCCTTCCTTCATCCAGCATTTGCAGGCCTCTGCCTGGGCTCCAGCTGCGGCTTATAGAGATGACTGTTACCTCAGGGGGGTCTCCCACTGCTCACAGTAGGACGTGGCTGCCCAGCTCTGGGGGTCTGTCAGGGCTCAGATCTGGAGGGTGGCTATGTTTGGCTTGTGGGGTGCATGGGGTCTCTGACTTAAGTACACAAAGCACAACATGCACACAAATGAAGCCCACAGCCAGTCCTCACAGATAGGGCCTCACCCCTGACCTGGATTTCCTTCAAGTGCTTATCTATTTTATTGTTCTAGAGAAGGTACACTATCTACTAAACCACCTTCAGCCTTTGTTTACATTTTGTCTTTGTATGAACACAAAAATGCTAGCTTTAGCTTTATCCTTCTGTGGACCCTGACACTACGCTGTTTATATTGTTTGCTTCCTTTAACTTCCTGGCTTTCTCATCCTTCACAGTATCCTTCACAGTACATGTGTGCACACGCCAGCCCCTAGAGAAATGAAGGTGCAGAGTTGAGGGAAAAGCTAGTGATTATGAGGCCAGGCTTTCCTTGGACATGGGAGCAAGAGGGGGCTGCTTAGGGAGGCAAGTTGAAGTACTGGGGTGAATCCAGTCAGATGGTGGAGGTACTCTCACCTGAGGCCTTTTTGGACTTAACTCCTCTGTGTCCCTGGAACAAATATTTCTTGAATTTCTTTTCCTTTTACTCTAGGTCTATCCATTTCTGAATAGATCAAACATGATAGTATCATGAACAAACCAAGCTATACAACACATTCTTAACACTGTTAAAATAAAAAAAGATAACTGGGTGTGGTAACACGTGTGCCTATAATCCTGTCACTCAGGAGACTGAGGCGGGAAGATTGCCAGGAGTGTGAGGCCAGCCTGGGCTATGAAGTCAGCTCAAGGCCAGCCTATAACCACATGGCAACTACATAGCAAGACCTATCTCCCAAAAAAAAGGAAAGAAAGATAAGAAAAGAAAAGAAAATAGGGCAGCCCATTTAGGACCCCTCTGTTTTTCAGAATCTCTTCCTATTCTCCATTATTCTTTTTTTTTTTTTTTGTACCAGGGATTGAACTCACAACCTGTGCTTGCCAAGCATGTGCTTATGCTGCTGAGCTAAATCCCTGGCCCTCCCCATTATTCTTTTTCCCCAATAAATTTTCCTACTCTTAAAAAAAAAAAAGAAAGAAAGAAAGAAAGAAAAGAACAAAGGACTTTAGATTGTTGTGGAGTGTTAAAGCTACATATTATACAGTTTACCCTTTTCTGTATTTTCAGAAGCCCCTTTCTCCCTGTGATACACACGTGCACACACTCACAAAAAATAATTGTCTCCCCTTTGTCTGTGACCCTGACCTCAAAGCCTCCAGCTGATTCCTTTCTAAGGTAGAGATGGTGCCAGCACTGGGGAAGGTACAGGGAGGAGGCCTCTGGGAGCAAGGGAAGGCACCTGAGACCGCAGGCTGAGCAGCCTGGGACACAGCCCTGCTTGTGAGCTGAGCACACTCCCCAGGCTTCACACCTCCTGTGTCAGCACAGTAACGTGAAAAGCATCCAGTTATGGACTCCAGGATGGACACTGCATCTGCTCTCTCGTTTCATCCTCCACCTGCTCTTTGGACTGAGCATTCTTACCCCTATTTTACAAGCTGAACAAACAGATTCTATAGTCAGGATTTTAAGTCAGATTCGTCAACCGCAAAACTCCAGGAATCCGTATACCAGACTCTGCCTACAGAGGGTCCTGGAACTGTGTGGCACTTACATGTTAGTTGGGGGATTTTTGTTGTGTTGTTGTTTTGCTTATTGTTTGGCTTCAGGTTGTTTTATTTTGTTGCAGCACTAGACATGAAACCCAGGGCTTTGCACATGCTAGGCAAGCACTCTACCACCGAACAATACCCCAGTACAACTAGGATGTCTGTCCAGTGTACAGTGTGTACCTACTGTATGGTCTGGGCAATAGCCTTTGCCTCCAGAGCCTGCTTCCACTCCAGGCTAGTGCCTTCCTCCCAGGGTTGTTAGGAGAATCAGATCCAGTGCTGCAGGAGAAAGTTCCAACTCCACCCAATACACAGCATACACTCAGTCATGCTAGCATGCAGTTCCCTCATCTGAAATGTAGGACTCAATTATAGCATTTCCCTCCCTTGGTGGTCATGAGGATTGGACAAGGCAGGTATGTTTGGAAAGCACCCTGTGTCACTGGCAGTCTCACCTGTACACTGGCTCTTCCTTTGCCCTCAGTGTTCTTCTCACCCAGAATCTCATCTGGACTTCACTTTGTGCTCTTCCTGATCACCATCTCTCAGTGCCTTGTCATGCCCAATGTTGTTTACCATCTGTCCTCACCCAAAAGTGTGGCAGCTTCATAAAGGCAGGGCTTTCAGGCTTGATGTTCCCAATGTTCCGGCACGTGGCACCCAGCAGAAACCCAATAAATGCTTGTGTGGCATGTGGCTGACGTCATCTCCCTCTGTTTCTCCACAGGCAAGGTGACCGTTCTGGCTGCTAGAGTGAGCTGAGCGTCCCAGCCTGGGTAGGGGACAGAGACAGGTGAGGGGCTTTAGGGCCTGTGCATGCTGGCAATGCAGAGAGAGGGTAGATGGGAGAGGCATCCTTGTGCCCCACTGGAGGACAGGAGCAGGATTCAAGTACCAGTGGTGAGCCGCCTCAGGCCCCCTCTTCTGTGGTCCGAAAGCTCTCAGCCACTTTCCTTGGGGCTTCAGAGAGGTGAAGAAGAGGCAGTGGAGTAGGATGGGTGAGTTGTCCAGTCTTTTACAGTAAGGATTTTTCATCTGCTGGAAACCTCCACAGTATTTGTGTAGAACATGGAAGTGAGCACTTTGCTCTAGCTCAGAAGTGGGAACTCAAATAAAAGATAAAGACTTACTAGTTGTAGACAGTAAGGATGGCAAGTACAATGCAGTGAAGACCCTGCTGTGCCTCTGTGGGCAGTGACAGACTAATCACTTTGTCATCAATCTGTTTCCTGTATACCAGGTACATATTAAAAGTGCAGATTTGCCCAGGGGAGTTAGCACAATGTCCCAATCCTCAGGAATGGACAGCCTGTGGGAGACTGTTACAGAACTGCACAGGAGCTGGAGAGTGGGTCCTGAGGAGAGAACAGGAAGGGAGGGCAGTGCAGAGAGGCCAGAGTGGGCAAGGAGGCTGGCAGGCAGGGACCTCAGAGGTGGTTCCCCCGCCACCCATGGGTCTGGTGTCTAGAGAACAGAAGGGAGAGGGGAGTGTCGGAGACACGGAGCATGGGACCTACTGTCCAGTGTGTCCAGAAGAAGAAAGCCAGGGAGGAGTGAGTGAACGACAGCCAGGCCTGGGACTGGGCACTCAGCCCCTCAGCGTCACAGTGACACTCTCCAGCCTGCTTCTCAGGGCATTGCCCAGGCGTTCACTTGTGACCCTCACAGTGACCCTGTCAGGAAGAACCCTTCTGCCCATTTTCAGCCAGGATTCAGAGAATCAGTCAGGTGCACAAACTAAGCCAGCTTTCATGTGTGTGCCCAGCTCACACTGGCAGAGCCAGGGAGAGACTTTTGGCTGTGAAGCTAGGATCTGTCCCAGTCCCAGGCAAAGCCCACTGAACCTCAGGACAAATTCTTACTTGTCTTGTTACCTTATTGTTACAATTGGGAGTCATGGCCATGTTTTGAATAGGGTTTATTGTTTTGGATTTTTTGCAGTGCTGGGTTTTGAACCCAGAGCCTTTGTGCTGAGCTACATCTCCAGACATTTTTTTTTTTTTTAGAGTCTGGTTCTTGCTAAGTTACCAAATTGCCCGGGCTGGTCTTCCTTCTCTGGTTACAGGCAGATTGTGTGTGTGTGTGGTGTGTGTTTCGTTTTTTGTTTTCAAATCACTTTTACAGATCTATTTTTTGTTTGCCAACATTGAGTAAGACAAGGTGATATTGGTGTTATTTTGTAAATGGGGTCACTGCAGCACAGGGACACTAATGTGCTGACCAGTTTGAGGCTGAATCCCACAAGAGAGTTCAGGATCTGTGTGACTTGTGACAGGTAATTGCAGATGTGGGAGTTCATCAGTTCATAGCCTCTGGGCCCAAGATGGGAAGAGTGAGCAGAAGACTGAGTCCAGTGACGCGTGGTTACAGTGTCCACGGCTCATAGATCTCACCAGTCTAAACACTGAGAACACTGAAGACCCTCACCTCAGTCCTCAGTCCTCCTGGGGTCCTGGAGTAACCTGAGGGGGCTTCTTGCTGTTGTTCCCAGGATCTGATGTCAGAGGCCATGGATCAGACAGCCGGGGGTCCTGGCTACCCAGCACTGGGAGAAGGTGCTGATGGCAACATGGAGCCCAGCAGCTGCCAGGAACTTCTGCATAGACTGCGAGAGCTAGAGGTATGTGTGGCAGGGAGCAGGCTGGGGTAGAAGTGATACCCCTTACTCTGAACTCGGGGTGGGCTTTGGGTGGGCTTGGCCGTCTGGAGCAGACCGAACCTTTGGCCAGGCTGGAGCAGACTGAACCTTTCTTTAGAAAAGCTCCTCAGGGGGCTGGGGATTTAGCTCAGCGGCATAAGCACCTGCCTTGTAAGCAGGCAGTCGTGAGTTCGATCCCCGGTACCGATAAAAAGCAAAAAGACAAAAAAAAAAAAAAAAGAAAGAAAGAAAGAAAGCAAAGCTCCTCAAAGGCCAGGCCTGCTGGTGCACACCTGTAAGCCCAGCTCTGAGAAAGCTGAGGCGAGAGAAAGAGAGAAAAACTCCTCCAGTAAACCCTTTCCTTGCTCTTTGCTCTCAGCCTGAGGACAAGAAGCATGCACAGGGTATGCTGTCCTAACCTCAGATATCTCTCTTCTCCCCCTTCTTGCTCCTACTGACTCCAGGGAAAGAGGCAGTGACAGAGGCCACAGCAGGAAGATGACATGGGCCCAGGAGTTGAAGGACAAGTCAGGGATCCTCAGACAGCACTTTGCCACATTCTTAAGACTGTGTGTGGCACACACCTGTAATCCCAGCACTTACAAGGCTGAGGCAGGAATATTGTCTTGAGTTCAAGGCCAGCCTGGACTGCATAGCCAGACCCTATCTCAAAAAACTAAGGAAAAAAAAGAAAAAGAGAGACCCTGTCCACTCCCCATCCTCCTGTGCCTGGTACCTCTCATTTGTTCTTCCTGGCCACTGTGTCTCTATCTCCCCAGTCTCACTGACTGAGGTCAGGTTTACAGAAAACTTGTCCATCTCAGCTCTGCACTCCGGCTGCCCTTGGTCTCTCTGCAGATGGCCTCATACAGGCTATAGCTGGTAGGCTGCCTCCCACGTCTTCCCCAGGAGGAATTTGTCCTGGCGGAGGGATGGCCCCAAAGCCTTCCCCTTATCCTCATCATCCTCTTCCACTACTGTAGGCAGAGAATTCTGCGCTTGCCCAGGCCAACGAGAACCAACGGGAGACTTACGAGCGCTGTCTGGATGAGGTCTGTGGGGTCAGCAGTGGGGTGCACAGGGAGGGGAGTGGCAGGGGACACTGCTTATCAACTTAACCACAGACTTTTCGTCCCCAGGTTGCCAACCATGTGGTGCAGGCACTGCTGAACCAGAAGGTGAGTGGCCACAGGAGGCACTGTCACCCTTAGCCCAGCAACCTGGGAAAGAGGCCTGGGAGTATATGGGGAGGCCCCTCCTGAGGGCTCCTCCAGGGAGGTAGATAACCATTAGTGTGCTAAACTGAGAAGACTTGCCAGCCCTCTACTCATTTCTCCCTCCCTTTCCCTACCATCTCCCACTTCCTGGCGCAGGACCTGCGAGAAGAGTGCATCAAGCTGAAAAAGAGAGTGTTTGACCTGGAACGGCAGAACCAGATGCTGAGTGCCCTGTTTCAGCAGAAACTCCAGCTCACAGTGGGTTCCCTCCCCCAGGTAGGTATATACACTGTTTTTTTTGGGGGGGGGTTGGTTTTTTTTGTCTTTTTGAGACAGGGTCTCACTATACAGTTCAGGCTGGCCTTGAGCTCACTTTGTAGCCCAGGCTGGTCTCGAACTCACAATGATCCTCCTACCTCAGCCTCTTGAGTGCTGGGATTACAGGCGTGAGCCACCACGTTTGGCCCAACATACACTTCTTCTTTCCTAGGTCGGCTTTCTCCCCCAAGGTTATTAGCACTGTCCTTAGATGCAAGAGGCCATTGGCATACCCTCCATGCTGGAGGCTGTGTCCACTTAGAGAAGGTCTGCCCTGCTGCATAGATTCACATCTTACAAGGGGTGAAAAAGTGTGGCTGTGTCCCTAACTCCAGGTGGCTGTCCAGCTGAATAGCCTCCCTGGTTGTTGACAGAGAGGGTTCGAGAATGCTCCTGTGTAAGAATGCTCCTGCCCTGTGTAGGGAGATGGGCGGAGGCTGCAAATGCGATTATTTCAAACTCTCTACAGGCCCCTTTGGCTACTGACACAGCCTCCTCCTGGCCAGGGCCAGGGGTGGGGACCTGCATACAGCAGCCTGGGGTTTGGTGTCACAGAGAGGTCAGGAAAGACACTTCCCTCCATCACTGTGGGCACAGATAGCTGCATATACCACCACAGGCACACACATATGTGCACAGATGCTTGTCTCCACTGCTGCCTCCTACTTTCCCCAGTGGCAGCAGGAGACTCCTGGGACTGAATTAAGATGTCACTTGAGGATACTTTTTCAGGAGCTCCCAAAGATGGGGTGAGGCACAGGAGTGGGAGGATCAGGAGCAGCTCCAGGCCGCCAAAGGGAACAACACATTGAGGTCAGCCAGCTGCTCCTCCCCTTTTGACAAGAAGAAAATCTCTTTCTGTGGGAGGAGGGACATTGGCAATCTGTCTGAATTTGTGTCTGTTGGATGCCAGCCAGGCAGCTCTTGGCCTGCAGGTCCTGAGCAGGAAATCCCTCTGCTCACGGGAAAGCGGGACCCTTGTAGAGGAAGCCCCTGTCACTGCGGCCTTTCTGGAGCTGCTCTTACCCAGACAGTGCAGAACTGGTCCCAGTCAGCTACAGACATCACAGACACCTCTTCTTGCTTCATTGTCGCCAGGGATCCCCTGAGGACTAGACATACCAGGCTAGCTTACCACTTCTCAGTGACTGCTAGTGACAGTGGGGAGAGCAACCTTAAGTCATTTTTCTTTTTAGTCTAAATGAATTTTTGGATGCTTTGGTATTTGGGACAACAGATTCACCTTCTCCAGGAGTAACATGATATAATGGGCCGAGTTTTAGCCTCAGATAAACTGGGGTTAGAGTGCTAGCTTAGATGCTTCTTAGCAAAGCACCTTGGGCAAATAACATAACTTTACAAACTATAGGGTTTGGGTTTTTTTTTTCCTTTCCTTACAAGTGGAGACAAATATACCTATATTGCAGATTGTTGTAAGGATTCAATTCAAATAATATATAGATTTAGCCCATCATAGCTAGTCAATAAATAGCAGCTATTTATCATTAATGTGTGATTCCCAGTTTGTGCTTTACTAGGATGAAAGCTCTTTTGAACAAATGCTAATTAAGCTCTTCCTATGAGTAGCACCTTTGCCAACATGTGTTGAATGGACTGACTGCAGGTCTTTCAGGGCTGTGACTGGTGGGGATGACAATGCTGGAAAGCTGGGACTGCTGAGGCGGCTCTGTAGACAGCCATGCATGTGTGACAGTGCTGTCTGTCCAGGGGTTTGGGAAACAAGCCCTCGGGGGACTGGGGACAGTTCCTGAGAGGAGATGACACTGGATGGTTGGGAGATTCACAGAGGGTGCCATAGGGGATGAGAAGAAATTTCTTTGAAAACAACTGCATTTGCAAGGCTCTGTGGGCAGGGAAGCCTAGGGAGCACCGAGCTGTTCCTCTTGGCTTGGCTGAATCAAAAAATCTGTGAGGATAGTGAGTAACAAAAGCTGGAGATGGCACCAGGAGGAAGAACTGGTATTGGCGAGAGAGAAACCAAAGGCCAGGCTCTAGGTTTCGCACAATTGTTCAGAATTGTTAACATGGGCAGTGGCATCGTTGGAGGCTTTTGAGCACAAAGGTTGCTTTAGAAAAAAATAAAGGTGGCTGGGGCTGTAAATCAGTGGCACAGTGCTTGCATGCCATGTGTGAGGCCCTGGGTTCAACCCTCAGAACCGCAGAAAACAAAAGAAGATGATGCCTTAGACTGCCATGTGCATGGAAGGTGGAAAGGCCACCAAGGCAGCTCATGGTGATTGTCTGAAATGCCAAGCAGCATCTAAACCAGAAGCAAAAAGGCTCAGGTTGCAGGAGCTGACTGCAGAGGTGAGGCCAAGAGATGCTGTGGAAACAGGTTTATAGTTATGATGAGTGAGGGAAGGAAGAGGGTAAAACTGTCTCAGTCAAGATGCCTGGGAGAAGGAAATCATGTTCTCAAGAACCAGACGTGGCCCATGATTAACTCCTACTTTTGCAATCCTCTGTGTGGATGTTTCACATGAGACCTGTTTGGGGAGGCTGAAATAATGGCTCTTCCATCTCCTTTCTAAGACCATCTAGACATCAGTTTCAGGATTCCTTGAATCATAGGTGCTCCAAACAGAAAGGAATGGACCATCATGATGGCCCCTTTTGTAGTAGAGAAGGAAGCCCTCCAGGAAAATAAGGTGGGCCCCAGCTGTCACTGCACTGCCCACTGACCCCAGCATGCCCCTCTTTCACCAGAGCCCTCTGTCCAGGCCCTCCTCCCACCATCTGAGCTTGCACCATCTTTAAAAGAACTTACGACACATTCTCCAAAGGCTCTTTGTTCTCACCAGCAAAGGGGAGTCACAAGAGCCATACCAGAAGACGTCCCTGGAGGCCACACCTGGGCGGGATGGCTGGCTTTGTGCAGGGCCAGACAGTAACTGTGCTAAGTCTTCTTTTCCTCTACAGATCCCACTCACCCCACTGCAGCCGCCCTCAGAACCACCAGCCTGCCCCTCCCTGGGTACCGCCGAGGGACCAGCCACCTCACTGCCTCTTGGGCACTGTGCAGGGCAGAGAGAGGTAGGAAGCCTGGGCACAGTGTGATCTGTGGTCTTGTTGGCAAGAGGCCAGTCAGTTGATGCCCCGATGCTGGTTCCTGATGAGCCCCAGTGGAACAGCTGCGTCCCATGTGCAACTCCTGTCCAGGCTGGAAGTGTGAGCCCTCAGCTGTCTGCTTCGTACCAGGAAAAACAGATCCCCACCCCCAGCCACTGGCCAGTGAGCAAATGCATTAGTAATGCAGTGAGAATCATAGTTAACACTTGCTGAACTCTTTATTTCATGCCAGGCATTGTGCGGGGGCACTTTTATCTTTATGAGGTTCAATTTAATTACCATCTCATTTTACAGATGACATCATGAAGCTTAGAGGTCAAATAACTTACCAAAAGTCAGATAGCTCGGTGGAACTGGCACTTGAACATACACAGTCTGACCCAGAGTGGGTGTAGTTAACCACTTTCCCAGACTCAAGAAGGGACTGAGTGGTAACAGGCAAGGGTTTGCATGGAGTCATCTCCATTTACCTCCTCCCGCTGGGAAGGCCTGGGCTTGTCTTCAATGGCTGACAATAGGTCCTGGCCACATTACATACCTTCTTGACACTCTGCTCTTTCCAGAGCCTGAAAAATGAACAAGCCACCCTCTCTAGGTCAAGCATAGAGATGAGAGTTGTGGCCGGTTAGCTGTGCTAATCCAAACAGCAGTGGGGATCATGGGGTGACCACTGTGCCAGAATACCAGTATAAGAGTCCCTGGCTCAGCAACTCTTGAGGAAGCTGAGCCATCCTATCCTAAGTAACAGCTAGAGACACAGACACACACAACCAGGTCAGCCCTGATCCTAGCATGCTCAGTTATGCCCAGCTCCGGACCTGGGCCTGGGATAGGATGCCAGCTGCACACAGTCTCAGCATCATGTCTCTCCTCCCCTCACTCCAGGTGTGTTGGGAACAGCAGCTGCGACCAGGAGGCCCAGGGCCCCCAGCCGCCCCACCCCCAGCACTGGATGCTTTGTCCCCATTCCTTCGGAAGAAAGCCCAGATTCTGGAGGTGCTTCGAGCCCTGGAAGAGACAGACCCCTTGCTCCTGTGCTCACCTGCCACCCCCTGGCAGCCTCAAGGCCATGGTCCTGGCTCCCCTGAACCCATCAATGGCGAGCTATGTGGCCCACCCCAGGCTGAACCCTCGCCCTGGGCTCCCTACCTGCTAGTTGGCCCTGGCAGCCTGGGAGGCCTGCTACACTGGGAGCGCCTCTTGGGGGGCCCTGGGGAGGAAGAGAATACTAGGCGGCCTTGGGGCCCTAACAGGGCCCCATCACAGGTCCAGGACACACATTGCACACCAGGCAGCAGTTCCTCCTCCTCTTCTGATGAGGCAGGTGACCCCAATGAGGCACCCAGCCCCGACACCCTACTGGGTGCCCTGACCCGAAAGCAGTTGAACCTGGGCCAGCTCCTTGAGGACACGGAGACCTACCTACAGGCCTTCCTGGCTGGGGCTGCAGGCCCACTCAGTGGGGACCACCCAGGTCCTGGGCAGCCATTGTCCTCAGACCAGGGTTCCCCGCAGCAGTCTAAAGGCCTCCTGAAGTCATCTTGGGGTGGGGGTACCCCAGAGGCTCACAGACTGGGCTTTGGTGCTACCTCAGAGGGCCAGGGGCCCCTCCCCTTCCTCAGCGTGTTTGCAGGTACAGAGGATGCCCCTCTAGGCTCGCAGCCTGGCCACGCTCACTCATCTCAGGTGAAAAGCAAGCTCCAAATAGGACCTGCTTCTCCTGGGGAAGCCCAGGGACCCCTTCTGCCCTCTCCAGCCAGAAGTCTCAAGTTCCTCAAGCTGCCTCCAACCTCAGAGAAAGTCCCCAGTCCAGGTAGCCCCCAGCTTCCCCGGAACTCAAGAATCCCCTGTCGCAACAGTGGCTCAGATGGCAGCCCTTCCCCACTGCTGGCCCGCAGAGGTCTGGGTGGAGGAGAGTTGTCCCCAGAGGGGCAACAGGGCCTGGCCACCAGCCCTTCTCCCTGCCTCACAACCCCGGACTCTGCACAGCTCAGACCCCCGCAGTCCACCTTGTCCACCACACTGTCCCCAGGGCCAGTGGTATCTCCCTGCTATGAGAACATCCTGGACCTCTCCCGCAGCACCTTTAGAGGATCTTCCCCAGAGCCACCTCCCTCCCCGCTGCAGGTGCCCACCTACCCACAGCTGGCTCTGGAGGTACCACAGGCCTCTGAGGGCCTCAGAAGCCCTAGAGCTCCCCCCAGCCCTTGCCTCTCAGAATCCTGTCCCTATGGGACCCCCCAGGAGAAGAGTTCTGACAAGGTAGGCTCGGAGTCTCCCCACCCTGGCCGCAGGACCCCAGGTAGCTCATCCAAGAAGCCTGCCCAGGGCTCGGGGCGACGAGCTGGGGATCCTGGCTACGCACCTCTGCGGGACAGACTGGCAGCCCTGGGGAAGCTCAAGACAGGCCCCGAGGGTCTAGAAAAAAATGGGGTGCCGGCCAGGCCTGGCACCGAGAAGGCCCGGGGTCCAGGGAGGTCAGGAGAGAGTACCGGAGATGTGGTTCCCCTCACCACTCGACCACTTGAGCAGCCAGAGGCTAAAGGGGCTCTGCGGGGGGCAGTAGCCTTAGGCACAAGCAGCCTGAAGCAGCAGGATCCTGGACTTGGGGATCCTGGGGCCCGAGTCTACTCCTCCCACTCCATGGGGGCCCGTGTGGACCTAGATCCTGTCTCACCAAGGAGCTGCCTCACCAAAGTAGAGCTGGCCAAGAGTCGGCTGGCAGGGGCCTTGTGCCCCCAGGTGCCCCGCACCCCTGCAAAAGTGCCCCCCTCAGCCCCCAGCCTTGGCAAACCCAGCAAAAGCCCTCACAGCAGCCCTACAAAGCTACCTTCCAAGTCACCCACCAAGGTGGTGCCCCGACCTGGAGCCTCCCCAGTCACTAAGGAGCCACCCAAGCCTGAGAAGGGGAAAGGCTCATCTTGGGCAGATTGCAGCAGCTCCACAGGGCAGCCCACATCCCCAATACCTGGCCCTCCCGACCCAAGCCAGGGCCCTGAGGGCTCAGCCCCACACTCAGCCATCGAGGAGAAGGTGATGAAGGGCATCGAGGAGAATGTGCTGCGACTCCAGGGCCAGGAGCGGGCGCCAGCCTCTGAGGCCAAGCACCGTGGCACCAGCAGCATTGCCAGCTGGTTTGGCCTTAAGAAAAGCAAGCTACCAGCACTGAACCGGCGCACAGAGGCCAAGAGCAAGGAAGGGGCCAGCGGGGGCTCCCCGCTCCGGAAGGAGGTCAAAGTGGAAGCCCGCAAGCTGGAGGCTGAGAGCCTCAATATCTCCAAGCTGATGGCTAAGGCTGAAGACCTGCGCCGGGCGCTGGAGGAGGAGAAGGCCTACCTGAGCAGCAGAACCCGCCCGAGACCTGGGGGCCCAGCCGCAGGACCCAGCCAGGCTCTGGGACAAGTGCAGGGCCAACTGGTCGGCATGTACCAGGGTGCAGACACCTTCATGCAACAGCTGCTGAACAGGTGAGTCAGCAGGTACCCAGTGGACTGGGTGCACAGCTACTTTGCACTGGGACTGCCTTTCTGGAAGCTTAGTCTTCCCAGAGCTAAGGGGGATAGGATGCCTCCAAAGCATCTACAGCTTCATGACCTGGCCTAGAGGAAAAGCAGGGCTCAAGTCTGGATTTTATCCTTTACTCCCCTTGTCACAGGCTGTCATCAGCCTTGCCAAAACCAGCTCTCACTTGAGAAGAGTGGATTGTGGAAGGGTTAATTGAGATGGCCTAAGGTATTTACATGTGGTAGTTAAGTGAATGCTAGATCTTAACTATGGGCTGGTGAAGGTCTTCTCTAGGAATGGACAAGGAGAGTCTCTTTCCCATCTTTAGCGCCTGCCGCAGTGGAGTTGTGGTTTGGAGGAGAAAGCCTCTCATCTTAGGGTTGGTCTTTCTGGCTTCATAAGGCAGAAAGTCCAAAGGAATTGGAGTGGGTTGGGCATGAGGTTTGGATAGCAAGTGTACTCAGAGGGAGAAGGCAAGTGTGTAATAAGTCAACAAGGTTGCGACCCAGTGTGGCAATATTTTCGTGCATACTGACCCTGGGCGTCTTTGGAGGAGGTTCCTCACCTTCTCCCAGCCTGTGCCAGTGTCAGGGAGGGTTGGTGGAGCAGCTGCTCCCCCAGGACCACTGAAGGGCCCAAGGCTGATGTATTCATCTGTTTTTTATTATTCTAATTAAATACCAAGGCAAGCTACTTTACAAAGGAATAAGGTTCTGTTGCAGAGCTCCCTCTTGATAAGGAATTCAACCCTGGGGCTCTACCCTAGTGACCATATCCAATCCCGATCACTCCCCACCCCTCAGAGGTCCATCCTAAGCACATAGTCAGGTTAAGTTTCCATCTTCTTACTAGCTTATAATGAGAATGAAATTTATCACCCTGCCAGCCATGGTGACGCACTCCTGTAATCCAAGCACTCTGGGGGCTGACACAGGAGGATCGTTGTGAGTTCTAAGCCAGCCTGGACTGTCGGTGTCGCTCCCGGCCGGCAGGAAAAACACACGACAGATTCTGACGGTGTACAACCTTGTCTTTATTTGTCTCCGCGTGGGCCGCGCGAGGCCTCTGCTCTGCCACCAGTCCTTTCTCACTGGCGGACTTCCTCTATCTCTTCTCGCAGGGAGGGTCACATATACATATATATGGACTCATCATCCAATAGGGCAACAGCAAGCAATGCAAGCTGATTGGTCATCGTCATTGGTTGCTAGGTAGATCAATCTATTGCGCGGGCTGTTTAAGTCGCCAGGGCAATCAGGGGGCAGGAAGCAGGCGCCAACTTGGCTCACTCGATGGGAGGGGTAATTTAGCTCAGGCTTTGCCTTTTCCTACAGGCCGCATGACCGCCGCGCATGGTGAACTAGCGCTGGTGCGGCTCCCAACATCTCCCCCTATTTTATTTATTTTGAATGAATGTACGCATCGCAGCCCGCCCTGGATTGAGTGCAGAGGCTTATGCCCTGTGTTGAGGCCCACCGTAGGCCCTTGGCTTGGACCCTGGTCGGCTGTCCCTGGGTCCGCCAAGGCCTTGAGACCCTCGTCCTTTTTCCAGGGCCAGGAGTGAACTGGACAGAACCTGGATGCACATAGGCATGCACTCATGCCCCTCCGTGCGATCCCCTCGGAGAGACATCTAGATCTGGGCAGATTCTAGTAATCCAGCGGCTTTCGTGCAGTATGGGGTAGGGCCTGGCTTAGGTCGAGTCGTGCTGGGGAGGCACGCTCTTACCCGTCATTGACTCACCTACCCTGCTGTGTGGTGTCAATAGGGAAGGAGTGCGGAAGACCCGCCACATCTAGACCCGGTTGTAGGCCAGTCGAGCGAGCCATGCGTAAGCCTGGGGGTCATTGTGCCCATCACGGGCTGCTGCCAGGGCCGCATGGGCAACCAGGCGTACTTGACGCCGGGCCACCGCAAGGCGCCCATTAATAAATGATGTGACCCATCGGAGCAAGCATGGTCCTATAAGCAGGAGCAAGAACAAGGAGCATAGAGGGCCTAACAAGGGTAGCACATAGGGGAGCAAGCCGTTCCAGGCCCCCAAAAAGGGATTGTCCTGCAGTTCTTTTAGGGCTCATCTTGTTGTTGGGTCTGCGGTTGGCCTCTGGTGGAACAGGCCTGATCTTCAGTCGAGGGACTTGTCGCACGCGTCAACCTCTCTGGGACCCACAGTGGTTCTCGTCCCGGTCCCTGCGGAAAGACACAAACCGCGCCTCGGTTCCAGCTAACCACCGGATCCGGGCCCATCCATTGTCCCGTCAGGACATCTTTCCATCTAACCCATCCTTTATTTTTGGGGGATGGGGTACAATGTGCCATAGCTGGGGAGCAATTTTCACTGTTTAAGTTTAAAAAATTGTATGTGAATAATGCCATAGATAACCGCGCCTTTGGAGGCAGGCCTTGGCTTACTCCCCCTTTTTGGTTTGTTTTTTTTTTTTTTTTTGGTTTTTTTTGGTTTTTTTCGTTTTTTTTTTTTTTTTTTTTTTTTTTTTTTTTTATCGGTACCAGGGATCGAACTCGCGATTGCCTGCTTACAAGGCAGGCGCTTATGCCGCTGAGCTGAATCCTCAGCCCCTGTTTCCTCGACCGGCGTTTTTCTCAGCCTGCTCGGCAGAGAACTCTGCGTACCATGCTCGCTAGTCTAAGTAGCTGCCTGAGGGTAGACATGCTTTTGCCAACTGGGTCCAGTCCGCTGGGGTGAGCGGCCCAGAAGACAAGTTTTCTAGCATAGCTATGGTATAGGGTGCAGTAGGACCGAAGGAAGTGACAGCACTCTTAAGCTCTCTGATCTGCTTTATCTCAAAGGGTTCCCAAACATTGCGCCCTTGGCCTGGGGCCATTTGCACAGGATATACTCCATAAGGACCGTAATCTATTCCTTGCATCGGTGGATCCCCTCCGGACCATCGTTTACCCCTCCATAGCCGCCCATGAAAATACCGTCCGCCCCGCGGCGCGACGTCATAGGATGGAGGTCGCGACAGAGTGGAACGGGGCGTCACTTCCTGTGTCGGCTGAGAGAAGGGGGGGTCCCCTGTAGCGGCCTCTCGGTGGGGAACCGCTTCTGGAAATGAACTCCAGGGCGGAGCGGATGGCTCTCTATCTCCTCCCCGCCAGGGGGCGCTCGGGGGCCCTTTTTCCTCTCTTTGCTTTTTTCGGGCGGCGCACGCACACAATTTGCGGCGCAACTCGGCATAGGGGTTTCGGGCCTCTCGGCTTCCTGCCCCACCTTCTAGTTCCTCCTCGCTATCTGAGTCGGAGGACTCCAGAGCTTGGGTGTTCTCTATCTTTCCCTGGATCTTCTCCCCCTGGATAGACCCCTCCCGAGAGCATTCCGATTTTGCCTGCTCAAAAGCCTTGCGTGCGTCCATGATTTCCGCGTCTCTAACTGCCGACGGGAACCCCTTCCCCTCCCCTTCAAGACACGCATGTATCATTTCCCACAAGGGGCGAATAGCCGGCGAAATATCGCCTCCCAATTCCGCCGAGGCGAGGTCCCCGCCTAACTTCTCCCATGACGGCAGGTTTAAATGCCCTGTGGGTAAAAACCAGGGAGCCACCCTATCTACCTCCGCTATGAATAGTTCCAATGTTTTTTGACCTACCCTGAGGTCTCTAGATTTTAAAAGCTTCTTAAGGGCCTTAACCAAGGGCCGTGCCTCCGTGCTCGGTAAATTACCCACCCTCAACCTCCGAGGGTTGTTACTCACCGTGTGTGACTTAGAGAACCCGTCACCTACGCGTGAGCCTGAGGGGAGTCTAAAAGCCCTGTAGGTGCGCGCCACCCAGAGCCCAGGTTTATCCCCTACTCACCTGTCCGGCAGCACCGCGCTGGAGTGTTGCACACCACTGAGGGGAGTGATCAGTTCCCCGTATGGGCCACCAGATGTCGGTGTCGCTCCCGGCCGGCAGGAAAAACACACGACAGATTCTGACGGTGTACAACCTTGTCTTTATTTGTCTCCGCGTGGGCCGCGCGAGGCCTCTGCTCTGCCACCAGTCCTTTCTCACTGGCGGACTTCCTCTATCTCTTCTCGCAGGGAGGGTCACATATACATATATATGGACTCATCATCCAATAGGGCAACAGCAAGCAATGCAAGCTGATTGGTCATCGTCATTGGTTGCTAGGTAGATCAATCTATTGCGCGGGCTGTTTAAGTCGCCAGGGCAATCAGGGGGCAGGAAGCAGGCGCCAACTTGGCTCACTCGATGGGAGGGGTAATTTAGCTCAGGCTTTGCCTTTTCCTACAGGCCGCATGACCGCCGCGCATGGTGAACTAGCGCTGGTGCGGCTCCCAACACTGGACTACATAAGCGAGCTCAAGGCCAGCCTATAATATATAGTGAAACTCTGTCTCAAAAAGAAAGCCACCAGGGGTTTAGCTCAGCAGCGTAAGCATCTACCTGGCAAGCACGATGTCATGAGTTCGACCCCCCAGCACAAAAAAAAAGTCATCCAAAGCCTTCAAGGTCACTCAAACTCTAGCAGCCATCATATTTCTGGACACTGACCTCCCTCACCTCCACACGCATTGTCATCCCTAGGGTGGATGGTAAAGAGCTGCCACCAAAGAGCTGGCGGGAGGCCAAGCCTGAGTATGGGGATTTCCAGCCAGGGTCCTCTGACCCCAAGAGTCCCTGGCCACCCTGCAGGCCCCGGAATGGCCTGGTGGGCCCACTTCAGGGCTGTGGAAAATCTCCTGGAAAGGTATGTTCCTGGGGCAGGAGGTTGGTAGAGGGGCTTGGCTTTCTGAAGGGTTCCCCTTCCCCAAGACACAAAAGCCACAGGATGCCTTTGGGGTCTGTAAGGGGCACTGGGAAGAGGAGAGTAGCTTCCTGAGAGCCAGCAGTCAGACATACTATAGGGCCCAGTATGCCTGTTCCCATGTCCCCACACCCATATTCCCGTTCCCCGAGGCACAGTGGTGGCAGGAGCTTGGGAGGGTGGAAATGAAACTCTGTCTTCTGTATCCACATAGGCGAGCAGCGAGCCAGGGAGGCAGGAAGAGATGCCCTCGGAGGACAGCCTGGCCGAGCCAGTGCCCACCTCACACTTCACAGGTCTGCAGGGTCTGCCTGAAGATGGGAACTGCCCCTCATCCCCTACCTGTTTCCTATAATGGTAGCAGGGCCTAGGCTCTGCGTGCCATTCTGAGGCAGCTGGGCCAGGAGGGGCTATTAGGGTGGGGGAGCCTGGCCTGGGCTGTGCCTCTGCCTTACACCCTCCATGTGTCCTCTCTCCAGCCTGTGGCTCCTTGACACGAACCTTGGACAGTGGCATTGGCACCTTTCCGCCCCCAGACCATGGCAGCAATGGTACCCCCAGCAAGAATCTTCCCAAGGCCAAGCCACCACGGCTAGATCCCCAACCAGGGGGACCCCCAGCCCGGCCCCCAGCCCTTACCAAAGTCCCCCGTCGAGCCCATACGCTGGAGCGGGAGGTGCCGGGTATAGAGGAGCTGCTGGTGAGTGGGCGGCACCCTAGTGTGCCTGCCTTCCCCGCGCTGCTCACCACTACTCCCAGCCACCGGGGCCATCTGACCTGTCCTGATGGTGAGTCCCAGCGGAGGGTGGGATAGCCCTAGGGGTGGGATAGCCCTGAGCTGGACAGCTCCATCCACTGTCCTTTGTTCCCGGACAGATCCCTGTGAAGACCCGGGCCCTCCCCCTGCTGTCCAGCTGGCCAAGAACTGGACGTTCCCTAACACCAGGGCAGCCAGCAGCTCCTCCGACCCTTTTCTGTGCCCACCCCGCCAACTGGAGGGGCTGCCCAGGACCCCCATGGTGAGACTTGCAGAAGGGGGAAAAATGGAAAAGAACCAGGGTGTAGAAGGGATGGACATGGGTCTTTCGGGTACGATACACCCTGTGTCCTGTGCAGCCCTAGCCGGGAAGAGAGCTGAGAGACCACCCACAGCATCTTCTGGGAGCCTACCTGTCCCTCTTGAGGAGAGGGTTTCTGTCACCCCCTAGCACCGTGGTAGCACTGGATATAGTCACACCTCCAGCCCACTTCCTCTGAAGTTTGTCCCACCTCAGTGGACCCCAGTGGCTCCCCTCAGCCTGGGCCATGAGGTGGGAGGAGTTTCTTCCCAACAGTTCCTCCTTTCCAGGCCCTGCCTGTGGACCAGAAGCAGAGCCTGGAGCCCAGCCGCCCACCCCCTACGCCTCAAGGCCCAGTATTTGGGGGCAGTCGCACCCCCAGCACATCGGACATGGGCGAGGAAGGCAGAGTGGCCAGTGGCAGTGCTCCGGGGCTGGAGACCTCAGAGTCCCTCAGTGACTCGCTCTATGACTCGCTGTCCTCCTGTGGGAGTCAGGGCTGAGAGGTGGCACACACCACAGCCCCTCCGCAGCTGGGGAGCGCAGCCTGGCCTGTTCTCTTCATGCCCCAACCCTCAAAGCCAGTGGGGCCTTCCTGGAAGGGACCAAGAAGGCAGCTGGATAAGAAGATGACGGGATTCCCTGGCCCTCCACTGCTGTGGATGAGATGACTGTGCTCCGCTCAGGGAGAGACTCCATCCCCAGTCCCTTCACTCACCCAGAGTAAGGCTCTTCCGCTGAGGGACTTAGGAGGCCAAGGCCACGTGTCCCAGCCCCCCAGCTCCCGCTTCAGGCTGAGCCATCTTGTGGTGCTGGGCTTCTTGCCCACCAGCTGTGCCATCTCTGCCCAAACTGGCTGCTACCCTGTCCCAAAGCCCCCATGGGGCCATTCTGGAGGACCCATGTTGGTGGACTTTGGGGATAGGGGGGACAAGTTGCCTTCTCTGTCTGCCCTGGTCCTCCCTGCTGTTGAATGGTGCTGCCCTCCCTTGCCCCATGTCTGGGGTTTATTGTCTGTCTTTTTTGGTTTTTGTTTTTGTTTTTTATATAAAAGCACCTGGCCCAGTCCCCACTCCCCAACCCGCACTGCGGTTAATTTATCTGGCTGCTCTGCTTCTGCCGTAACCCTAATAAAACATGGAGGCCCATCTCCCACTTGGCTCAGCGTGTTCTGTATGAGGACTTGGGTAGACAGGTGGGTACTACATGAATGCCAGGTTGAGGGACCCCAGGGCCTCGTGAGGCAGCTCCCCACTGGCACTAGGGGAGCTAATAGTCCCCTAAGATGCAACTGAAGTCTGGGAAAATGAAGCCTGCTTAGGCTTAGAACTGTACTATACCTGAGGATGGAAAGATTCCCCCAGGCTACCCTGGGTGGGGCAGAGGTGAGGCAACGCCCCAAGAGGGAAGAGGAAAGAGCACACGGCATTCAGAGCTTCCGGGGCTGGAGACCTGGTAGAGAGCTGGCCACCTGTGATCGCACGCCTTAATGCCACTTCATAATCTCTGATTTAGGGAAGAGGGTCAGAGCAAAATCTAGTTTCTACATCAGCTTGCAAGGAAATGTTCCCCCCAGCTCAAAAACAGATTAGGAAGGGGGCAGCAGATATGAGGTCCTGGGGAAGGGTCCAGGCTTCCAGGAGTTAGTTTAGATGCCCTGTGAACTTCCTGTTGGGCATGGAGCTAGGCATGGGCCTTCAAGTGAGCGAGGGCCATTGAGGACAGGCCATTGGTATCGGCTCGCCAGTGTGGAAGACACTGACTTTTGTCCCAAGCACCCTAATGGAGCTGACACTCCCTATGACAGGTCTGAAGGCTGGCTGGCAGCACACACGCTTAGAACCCTGAACTGGTGGCTGAGACTGGACAGTTTGCATGTGGGAGGTGAGATCCGGTAGGATGTGGTCAATGTGCCTGCTCTATTGGCATCACAGGCCTCAGAGCTAAGGAGTGATCTGGCCCAGAAGGGGGTAAGTACTGCCAGGCACATTCAAGTTTCAGTTATAGGACTGGGCCTGAGCTCAGTCGTAGAGTACTTTCCTCACATCCACATGGCCGTGGATTTGATCCCCAGCATGGAAGGGAAAAAAAACAGCAAAATCTCAGTTGTATTACTGGATGCCAGTCTTATAGCCTGACAAAGTAAGATTGGAGGCTGACGGTTCTTTTTAGTGATGTGTCACAGCTTCCTCATACAGATACCTACCATACCAACCAGCCCAGCAGTTCCTACCCCCACCATTACCCTGGCCAGGCAGCTACCCCGGCATCCTCCAAATGAAGACGTGGAAGCTCAGCGTCGTCAAAGGTGGGGCCTGTGCAGTGCCAGAGCCTGGTGAGATGGTGCCCTCCTGGGTGCATAGATTTACATCCCTCAGCCTACACTTCTGTCTCCTGCTCCTGCAATCATTCCTAGCAGGCAGGGCTTGAGAGCAGCAGGTGAAATCAAGAGCCTTGCCATTCTGGTTTCATTCAGAAAACTGCACCTCTCCTCCAGATTGGCTTTTCTCATCTACAGCAGATTAGGCAAAGCCAGACTTTCTTAGCATTCTGCTCTTCCTGACTGCCTTTAGCTAGCATCATCGCTGGGAAATTAACAACACTACAAAAGTTAACACTTAGAGAAGGGGCAAGTCCAATGTCATGTTCAGAGAAGTCTGCATCCTTCTCCAACTCTTATTTCTTGGTTTCTCAAGCCCTTTTCTCTGACTGAACCCTAAGCTTCTCCTCATTTCCTAATGAGAACTGACTGAGTTATCTACAGAATGACTCCATTTCCTTTCTGGGAAAGACTTTGGCATGCTTGAATCTCCGTTTTGCCTCTTCCCACTGAAACCAAAGGATATCCATCTTCCCACCAGGACCTGCACAGTGTCTCCTGGGCTCTGTTCTCCCGTGTTTGCAAATGCAAGGTGTTATCCTGGTCCCTGGGCCAGTGTGGGCTGACTGGAGAAAGGACCGTTGTCAGACACCAGGGCAAGGTGTAAGTAGTACTTGCCACACCCAGGGCCTGCCAAGAATTGAGATCACAGATGTGTGCCACCATGCACACTTTCCAGCATCATCTTGGGATGGGGAAGACATTTTCAGAATTATCACATATGGCCAGGTGTGGTGCACCCACCTGTAATCCTGACAGTTAGGAGGCCGAGGCAGGATCACAGAGAGTGCCTGCCTGGACTACATAAAGACCTTGTCTCAAAAAAAAAAAAAAAATTTAATCAGGCATAGTGATGCACACCTGTAATCTCAGCACTTGGGTGGCTGAGGTTGAAGGATCACTGCAAATTCAAGGCCAGCCTGGGCTACAAAGCAAATTCAAGACCAACCTGAGCTGAATAGTGAAACCTTGTCTCAAAAAGACAAAAATAAAATACAATAAAATAATCACATATAAATTATAAAAGTACATTTTATTGTTTAAAAAAAATTAATTGACCAAGGGATGTAGCTTAATAGTAGCACACTTGCCTAGCATGTGTGAGGCCCTAGGATCAAATACCAGCATCACAAAAAAATAAAAAATAAAAAGTAATTGAAATGTTATTCAAAGAGAAGGAAGAATCTCCCTAATACTTTGACCAACTTCCCAGACTTATTACTCAGACTACCTTAGCTGATAATCTTCTGGATATTTTAAAAATGCACACAGAGGGTTGGGAACATAGCTCAGGGGCACAGCACCTACTTGGCAAGCTCAAGGTCCTCAGTTCAATTCTTAGGACCCAAAATAAATAACTAAATGCATATAGAGCTGAATGACGACACATGCCTGAAATCCCAGTGTTTGGGAATCTGAGGCAAGAGGATCACAGAAAGCTCAGGGCCAGCCTGGGCTACATAATGAGAACAAAAAATAACTTTAAAATAAAATAGAAAAGTGCATGTAGACATAGTGTGTTATGTTTGCTTTTGATTAAACAAGAGTGTTCTAAAGTTAGTGATCTACTGTTTCTCTTTAGTACTTAATAATATATCTTGGGCAGGAGCTGAGGCAGGAAGACCACCAGCCTGAACTGTCTAGTGAGACCTTGTCTCAAAATCATAATAATGTGTCTTAAAGATGTTTCCACAGCTCATGAATCTCCATTATCATGCATGGTATTCCATTGTATGGATGGGCTGTATTTATGACAAACATGACAGTGAACATCACATGTGTATCTTTGGTCAGTTGTGTATTTGCATAAGATGAATTCCTATAAATGGAATTTCTGGATCATAGCATGTCCTTAATTTACTTTTTTATGGAAATTAATAAACTGCACACCAACCAACAAATAAATACACGTATCTCCCCACATCTTCTGCTTCATGAAAGAGTATCAAACTTTGGAATTTGTACACAGTTGGGTGCGAGGAAGAGATGGTATAGTGTCTCACAGCCACTATGGGGACTGTGGCTTTTACCCATCGTGGCAGCAATGAGAACAGACTGGGAAGAGCAAGTGCAGAGCAAGGGCGCAGAAGAAGCCCCTTGTCCCTGGTGAGAGACCTGGCCAGCTGGGAGCAAGACAGACAAAAGGACTGCAGACAAGAGGGGCCAGCCACACCTCCATGGGTGTTGGAACAACTGGAAGGCAGGGACACGGGGCGGAACAGACCTCGGGGAAGGAGCAACAGGAGTTCAGTGTCAGAGGTGTAAAATCTGAGATGCCCGTGAGACAACACGCCGGGGAAAGTGTAGAGTATGCCATTGATTACAGGAGTCCAAAGCTTAGACATAGAGTGTCATAAGTCATCTGCATATAGCTGTTATTGAAAGCCAGGGACCAGATGAGGTCACCAAAGGAGGGAGAGGAGGGGAGATTCTCTTTCTCTGGCAGTCAGAAAATGAGGTGCAAACAGCAGCAGTGACTGGAGAGGTGACACCACGAGGACATGGGGGGCCTGGATGTAAACCAAGGAGACGTTGAGAAGGAGTAAGTAAATCAGCCCTCACATGCTGCAAATGTGTTGCTGACGAACTGAACAAGAACTGAAAATCACCTTTTGAATCTAGCCTGGGGTCAGCGGTGATCTTAATAAGAACAATGATGGAAACAAAAGCCCTTCTAAGTGGGTCAAGACAAAAGGGAGCCAGGAGTGGTAGCACACACCTGTAATCCAACTGAGCAGGATGGCGAATTTGAACCCAGCCTGGGCAACTTAGCAAATTTTGAGCACTGTCTTGAAATAAAAAGGGCTAGGGATTATTTTAGTTACTTTTCTCACTGAGACAAAATATATGATGCACAAAGTTAGAGGAGGAAAACTTCCTTTTGTTCACAGTAGTTTCTAGAGATTTTAGTCCGTAGTCAGCCAGCTCCAAGGCAGGGTGGTTTGGCAGATGGTAACAAAGATGGGAGAAGATAAACCGCTTTCTCTCCCTTACACAGTCTACTAGGATTAGGGCAGTGCCAATCCAGTCAGTGGACTGGTTTAGTAATCACCCACCCTTAATCCTAGTACCCTTTACCCTAGCATTGCACCATGAATCAGTCACACACTCTGGATTCAACCACATAAGCCCCAGTAAGACTGCATGAGGCTTTCAGGGACATCTAGATGCAAACCATAACAGGAATGTAGCTCAGAAGGAAAGCCCTGGGTTAATTCTCCAGCAAGAACAAGAGAGACAGAAATGGAAACACAGACAGAGGAGATAAGAATGGATAGGAAGGGTATAAACAACTCTTCTAAGAAAAAGTGAGGGGGAGAGGAAGGCAATTTAAGAAATGAAATACATTTATGTATTTTTGTTTTTTGTGTATTGTTATTTTTAAAGAAAAGGTCTTACTATACAGTGCAGGCTAGCCTCAAATTCACAGCAATCTTCTTGCCTCAGCCTCCCAAGTACATGATTGTCAAGATTTCAAAACATTGAAACCTCAGCTAGGCATGGTGGCACACCTGTAATTCCAGCACCTCAGAGTCTGAGGCAGGAGGATCACTGTGAGTTCAAGGCCAGCCTGGGCTACATAGCAAGTTTAAGGCCAGTCTAAACTACATAGTGAGACCTTGTCTCAACAAAACAAAACAAACAAAATCTTTTTTTTCTCTAAACTACTTAAGAGTAAGTTGCCAACCTGATGTTCTGTCACCACAAATACTTCAGTATTTACTTCCTATAAGGAAAGGCACCATCAAAATGAGGAATTAATATTAAACAAAAC